TTTATACTTATATTAATTATATCAATTATAATTTTAATACTTGCAATTCTTATTTAAAACTAAAGTTTTTTATATTGATAATTTTAATGGCATGAAGTAAATATGATGATATCTTTCTTTATAATATATTAATTATATTGATATAATTTATTCTTATATCTATCTATTTAATAACTTTTATTTATAACATATTTCTTATTTTTAGAAGAGTAATTAGTTTAGTACATCTTCACTAAAATAGAAGAATAATGATTTGATGTTGTATTTGACTTGCCTGTTGTTGCTAATCTTATAGCATAAAAATCACTTGTATTTGTTATTATAATATGTAGTTATGATTAATATAATTCAATAATTGATTTTAAATTATTGTTATTTATGTGCTTGTGTTATTTTAATTTTAAATTTAATAAATTATATGATTTAAATTTTAATGAATGTTATTATCCAAATCTTTTTTTGATGTTATTCCATTAATCGAGACGGCGGGACGTCCCAATTTTGTCCCGGTCCCGTCCCGACTCTTAACGGGACGGGATGACTTTCGGGACGGGATGGGATACGGGACCAAAATTTAGTCTCGATCTTTTTTTCGAGACGAGACACGAGACGGGGGTGTCTCGGTCCTGTCTCGTCCCGTGAACACCCCTAGCCTTATATATGAATAGGGGACATTTTTTTTTAATGTTGCCATTAATCATAACTTTAAAATACATATATTAACTAACAATTCAAAAGTGTTCAAAATAAGCAATAGTTATTAAACAGGTAATATTTATCACTTGTCCTCTATTCATGCAATATTCATTGTTTGTCTTCTCATCCTGAAAATATACTCCCGCCTGTGCGTCATTTGCCTTTTCATTTTGGAACTATTTTTTTTACAATTTTTTAGTCAAATTATTATTTTATTATTTAAGAATTTAATTGAAGAGAGATACAATTTTTTGTTATTTAAAGAATCTAATGAAAACTACACCGTGATTCTGTGTCTTTGTTTTTAATTTGAGAGAGATATATATTTTATTTTTAAAATTTATAGGTAATTTAATAATTTATCATTTATTAAAAACTAAAGCTAACCCAAAAAAAAAAAAAAACACTTACACCGCTCTTCATCATTGCCCTTTCCGACCTGTACTCGTTCTCTTTGCCTCATCGCATCTTCATCGTCTTGCATGGATGATTCCCTCCTTATATCATCTATATCTTTATGAATGATGACCGATATAGACATCCCTATGTAGTGCAGCAATACATAGCTGTATCAAATTTAAGTCTTGTTTGGTTATTAAAAAAAATAGAACGAAAAGAATTAAAAAAAATCAATACACAAATGAATTAAATTATCCTTCTTTCTTATAATAATTGTCACATTCCAAAATTAGATGTGACCGATATGGGGTATATATACAAATATACATTTCTTAAGCCTTTATCAAGAAATTTCTAATATGATATTTTAATTCATTTGAAATAGGATTGAAATTCATTGCAACATGTTTATATAAATAAAAAAATTTCTAGACTTTTTTGTGAATATTTTGGCAGAACCTCCCCTCTCCATAAAAGCCTCCCAAAAACAAATCTACAATCATTTTACAAAACAACAGCAACAGTAAGGAATGGGGCTCTATTCCTATCAGTAAATAACCAAAATATAAATAATAGAATGAGGATCCTAATTATAACTTATATGAAGCATTTGATATAAGAATTAACAAAATATAATGCATGGGTATAAGTTTACATTAAAGAAGCTTGATATATAATTCCTCACTTCAATTGAATACTACAGCCCCTCAATGGTCAGTAGAAGGTATAATATTAGTTAACATATCTGAGACCAAAATAATAATTTTTAGTGAATGATATCCCAACAATAAATAATTGAACATGAATAAAAGAAAAGTTCAAAACAATAATGCAAGTTAAAGAGACAATAATCTTCATAAAAATTTAATAAACTTCAGAATAAAAGGATCCTATATAACTTTAAATGAAATCTTAAATCATTAAATTATCATACTAAATATTATTATTACTTGATTTCAAAAATGCAAATAAACAAAATAAATAATTATAAATAGATTACTAATTAAAACCAATGAAATATAAAATCACCAAATAATCAAATTCATATTTATAGGGACTTATCAGATTAACAAATATGGACATACAATCCATGAGGGTAAATAACTAGACGCGACTTATGCTACGAAGACAAATGTGGACACACAGCCTACGAGGGTAAATAACCAAATGCGGCCGAAGTTACGAAACAAACATGGACACACAATCCATAAGGGTAATACTAACCAAACATGACTTAAAGCCATAAAATAAACATAGGTATTAAACTCACGAATAACAAACGTGAGAACAGAGCTCACAAAAATTAAATTAGCTAGTCATTAATCAAGGCGCATCATGGGCTAATAGGACTGTCCTTAACAACTAGTGTTCTATATAAAGTCCCCTCAAAATTCATTTTTCAACATGCGAAAAAATTATCACTATTAAAATACAATTTTTATTCTCAAAGTCAAATTCGCATGAATAGTTTTAAGCATTAAAACTTGATAGAATAAAATTTCATAACTAGTGTTCATACTTGCATTTATTAAATAATCAAAATTATCATAATTGATAAAAATAATTTCATCAATCTTAAAAGCATAATTCATAAGAAAAATACATGCACATATCATAATTTAATTGTTCTTCCCAATCACTTTATAATTTCACAAGATAAGAAAATTTAAATAATAAAATATCCCATACTTAACATATTTATTATTAAAAATAGTCCACATAAAAATATAATATTTTAGATAAATAATTTTATAAAGAAATCAGTTAGGATGTTATTCTGATAATTTTTAAATAAATAATTTACTCCTAACTTGTCCTCTTGTAGCAATGCTTGGTCAAATCCTAGTGACCAAGTAATTCAATTGTTATTTTCTACTCACCATATCATTAAAAAAAAAAATCTAACTCCAATCTCAACTTTCATTAAAGAGAAAACGTGATTGTTTTCTAATAATTATTTAACCAACAACAATACAATCATCACGTATATTTTGCTACAGTACATAATAAATTTTTTTTCCCTCTCACACCCATTTTATCAAACATCTCACGATCATAAGTCTCCAAATTAAAATTTTAAGCTATTTTCGCTTCAAACCTCATCCCAAAACTTCGAATGTCAATACTTAAGTTTATCCAACTCCTCAATTCCAGTCTTAACATAATAAGCAATCTAAATATGAATTGAATATCATTTAAACACATTTTTCTTTTAACAAAATGTTTAAGGCATAATTACCTACCTAAACTTCTTAGCCCTCAATGTAAGCTTGTTTAGACATCATCTTCCCTACCCATGCACGGCAGCTTACACAAATGGAGGAGAAGAAAAAAATTCAGCCACCCAATCATACCCATGCTCAAATTGGATGAGGAGGAGAAGAGAAGTGGGAATTCCTTCACCTGTGTAGCAAATGAGAGATGGGATGAGAGGATCGAAGCTTTCCCAAACACATGAACATTGCACACTAGTTCAGTGGCATCACAGCAGGAAGAAAGAGAAAGGGACGCTGCCACATGACAGTGGAGAGGGAGGAAGATATCAACGCTGAAACAGGGGAGGAGGAAATTTTATGAATCAAGCTTCCAACAATGTCAGAAAATCTCTCTTTCATTCACTAACCAAACCAACTCACACACATCGGCCACCGAAAGGAAGAAGCAAGAACCAAGAAGATGACGCAAAGCAAAGAAGAAGAGCAAAAGGGAGAAAATCTGGCGCATCTTCGATCTCCAGCGATGGCGGCGAGAGGCACACCCACGGTCACCGACCAACGGACACAGAGGGAAGAGGAATGATGAAACTCCCCCCCTCCTTCTCCCTCTCTCTCTCTGAGCTTCTGGAGGAATAAAAAACAATGTTAGAGGCGGAGAACATAATATTCGTGAACTCATCAATTTATATAATACATTCGTACTCAAACAATTGATAACAAGTCACACTCTTCAAAAGTACATATAATATTCCAATACTTTATTTTCACCGTTATTTTAATTTCATTTATTAATTTATATCATTATTTTATATACCAAACATGCCAGCTGTCATCAGCATTTTTCATTTTTGTTCCTCTCTTTTCCTTCATGTACTTTCTATCAATCGGGCCCTAAGTAATGGCCCAAAATCCACACCCCAACTTGTTTTATTTTGATCTGGGCCCAATTTCAACTTTGATTATTGAATGCAAGAAGGGTGTTAGGTATAAATATATTTATTGACGTTTATATTAGTAGTTAAACAGGAATTTGAAAAATATGTCAAGCCTCTCAGGTCTAAAAATCTATATGAATCTTAAAGGTATTTATTTAAGTTGTTGATAAACCGGATTGTTTTAAGGTATTGAAACCTCTTAGGCCGACATTATATTATCGGTGTTATCGATTCCTTTCTTCCCGGCCCTTTTGATGCCAACGTTCATGAACATGAGTTGTATTTCAAGGGTTTTGAAGCATTTTGGACTGAGTGAAAGGATATCAATCATAGGCTGTGAATCCAAACATTTTATTCTTGAAGCTTGCTACTTCTCCTATGTTTGGGATTGACAATAGGCACCTTATGATCTAAGTTATCGAAACAAAAATGTCAATGAGTAGTGTTAAATGAGTTTTAATATGGTATAAATTGCTTCCACACTGACACATGCATCTTAATTAGAGTGAGACATATAAAATTATAATCAACTTTTTTGGGGGGATCAAAATTAAGTTGTGAACTACACCATTTTGTTTGTTTGGTTAAAATGAACTACAACAAATTTATTTGACAAAGATTTTCACTCTAAGCTTTTCTTTTTAATCTTTCAATTCATCTCGAAATAATGAAGCAACGTGATAACAATTAAATATGAAAACGAAGTGTCAGCAGCTTTGGAAAAATGGAAGAAAAATATTTAGCTTGAGGAATGAATTAAGTTTACTGTTCTTAAATATGAAAAATAAATAAAAAGTAGCAACACAATTACAAACAAATTATATAAGAGGAGAACTAAATCTAAGAAAAATACGAACTTAATAATAGTACTCAAACTGTTTACTAAAATTCTGCCAGAGAGGATCGTCTGATCAATTTTGTTCACTGATAGGGGAAGGAAGCAATCACAAATCAGTTGAGGATCTCATTTTGTGCTCTTTCTCCCTCTCTTTCCATATTATTGTATAAACGTGTGTGACCCCACGTTTCAATCTAGAAGCGTGAGACAACCTAGCTACTCCCCCAACAGACACACATATTGATTGAGATCACATCAACCAATGGCATTTTCGTTTCTGTTCCTTGGACATATTGACGTCAGATGCTTGATCATCTTCATGCATGTCTTGACTGCCCATATGAAAAAGTAGGTTATGATGTATAGACCAATGAATCCAAGCAAAACCATCCAAATAATGTAGGCTTTGACATTTACATCGGAAGTCGATTTACTCCAATAATATAGGCCTGGGGTTATCATGTAGAGCGCAAAAGAGTAGGCAAGTGCAAGGGACGTGAGAGTTATAATCATGCCTATTGATAAAATCCGCATCACAAGTTTATTCTTGAGAGGAACTCCACTCACAAGCAAAAGTGTAACGCCAAGAGATGCAACGAAGGATATGGTATTGTAATTCATGAAGCTGTAAAAGTAAGATGGACGCTTAAAAGCAAGTATCGCTTCCCCAGGACATGCAAAATAAGTGCCATTACTAAGTGGCAAGCAACCGAGGGGTCCTTGTCTAATACCTAAAGCATTCTCGTAACTGGAAGTGGTGTTGGAACTATTAAAAATACCTTGTTGAATGAAGCCTCCTGGAGGATTGATTACAGCTTGAAAGGTTATGGTCGAGATGACAGTAGCCACAAGACTTAAACCAATCACCGTTATACTTAAACCATTTTCCCATGTGCTTCAAAATATTTTTCCACCACTTCTTCCGAGGTCTCATTCCTTGGCCGACATTAGTACTTGTTGGGCCTTCACGATCCTTCACTTCTCTCCTTTCGGTACTGTTAATGCCAGAGTTCATCAGTATCACTTGTATTTCAAGGCTCTTCAAGTCCTGCGGAATTTGCTCAAGAATTTCGTGGACCGTATAACCCATCCCGTTCTCCATGTTAGACAGTTCTCTTATTTCAGGAATTGACAAGAGATACCTCACCGTCTAAACAATATACAAGGAAATTTATTAATTAATACGTCTAAACAATATCAGAAAAATTTATTAACAGGCATCTTGCAGTGTACTCCTTCCTATCCCTGTTGTAAGACATTTTCTATTATGATTTTTTATCCTTAATATATATAAAGTATATGGAGGGTTATTTATTATCATTTTCTATTTTTATCCCCCTTATAAATTTAATTTTATCACTCATCATACATTATGTACCTCTTTTATCCTATTTCTAATAGAGGTAAAGTTGAAAATTTTTTCATTTTAAAACATATTTAATGAGTTAACGTTTATTTTTTGATTTCAATGAAGCAGTCCAAAACATCTTGTGATATATGAACTGGAAGGAGTAGAAAAATAAGCCGTTGCTCTACTCTTTAGGAAGTGGAGCAGCATTTTTTGCCTCAAAGCAGCTCGTATTGTCAGGTATTAATGTAAGCAAGCTTTATATCATAGAGCTTTCGTATTCTTGTTTTGACAGAATAAGCAACAAAAATAACCGACGTTGTGTACTTTAAAATAAGGGAATGACACAGATGTTAGAATTAATAATTGTTTTTCGACAGTTTTTTTTAAAATGAATTGAAATTATTAATTTATGACAATTATAAATTCAACAATATTAATTATAGACAACATATTTAAATTTCAAATATAACTTACTCGTTGGTTGCATCTGAAATTCTTATTTACAACGGTTTGAGTTGATATTTTCAACTCATTTTTTTAAAATAATTCTATGAGGGATTTAACTGTCATTATCTCTTAAAATAACTATTAGGATCATTTTTTCTTTTAAACAATCATGTTTTGATACGCCTAATAAATAATACCATTAGGTATACACACAGTTTAATTACAGTTCACAGGCTATATACTTCCATTGGATTATAATATAAGTAATTTTTTTAAAACTTAGTCTAAAATATAGGGCATGGGATAGGTGTTATACATTTTTTTTAATTATACCCTTACTTTATTGAATTATTAATGAGGAAATTTTAAAGATGTGGAAATTTTAAAAAAATTTAAAATTTTAGCCAACATTTTTTTTAGAAACATAAATTAATTAATAATAACTTACATTATGATCGAATGGAATATCATTGCCATGACTTATTTTGAAATTTTTGCTAATATACAAAATTCACTTTAATTGTGATATGAGATGCAATTTTTAGATATATAATATTATAAAAATAAATTTTATGAAAATTTCATAAAATTATAGTGAAGATATTTAAGTATGTAATTTATGAGATTTTTTGTATAGAATACTTCATTATGAATAAGGATAAATGTCTTTTGAATTAAAGAAAATTAATTCTTTTAAATAGGTTTTATCGTATATATATTGATTGAGAAAATTTAGAATTAAAATATGAAGAAAGAATGAAAGATATATACATCAAATTTTTCCTTATTCTTCATTGATAAAAAAAAAAGCACACTTCCTCTAGTTCTATTTACAAGGAAGAGATAAAATAATTTATTTAGTTCTATTTATAAGTTACATAATTAATTTTAATGATAATTTTTTTCTTTTACCCTTCATTAAATATTGGTAAGAGAAAGTACTCCCTTTGGCCTACCGTATATGGTGTTTTTTATAGGGTTTTTTAAGAACTCTCCCTTGATTCAAAATATAAGGCATGGGTAAGTTATATATATATATATATATATATTCAGTTATATCTTTGTCTATTATACTTTCTTCAAGTAATTAACGAGGTTATTTTGAATAAGTTAAATATTATATTTATTCAATTTAAGGATATGATTGAATATATATGAAAAATTTTATAAAATCAATATTTTAACAACTCTTTTTAAATAAATGTAGATTAACTAACAGGGGAATATATTATTAAATAATATATATTTAATAGAGATAAAGTTTAAAATTTATTAACTTTTTAGACAAGGTTAATGAATTTTAAAATTTTTCTTAATTATAAAAAAACATATTGAAAATAGTTTTATAAATAAAACGAGAGAAGTATATCTCAATCTTGGTAGAAATTTAGCTTAATAAAGGCGTGGACTGAGTCTAGCTGGATTACATTGAGACTCTCTCCTTACCCTTTATCAGCACATTTCTCCAAAGTCAATCTTATCTATTCATTTCATTATCTGCATTTGATCAATTCAATGCTTTTGGAAACAAATTTTAATAATTGGTTATGGTTGTAATTAAACGTGTAATATATTTAATTTAGTGACATGATTAACAATTTTACATCATTAAATCAAATCAGTATTAAAATGAACAAATTAATGCACTCTCCATAATTTTCATTTATAGAAATAAGTAAAGGTATTGACCAAAAAGAAAAAGAAGAAGTACCTCAACTTGCTTCGACATAACAGCCAAATGGAGAATGGTGTTCTTGCCATCCATGTCTCTCTGATTGAGGAGCTCGTAAGTGTCGCCAATAGCCAATTCAATCAAAGATTTGAGGATCTCCAAGTGGTTGTACGTGACACAAAAGTGGAAAATAGTTTTACCCTTGTCAAGGATCCTCAAAGACTCAGGTTTTACTCTAATAAGCTCTGCAACAACCTCAAATCTCCCTCTTATAACAGCGTAGTGCAAGGGAATTCTCCCTTCTTGGTCAAGAACCAAGCACGCATCATCACAGTACTGCAACAACTGCTTCACTATGTCGATGTGGCCTTCTGCAGAAGCTAAGTGGAGAGGTGTGCTTTGGAAGGAGTCCAACTCAATGGCTAATTTGGGTTTGTGAGAAAGAAGGGCTTTTGTGAAATCAAGGTGGCCAAGCAAAGCTGAAACGTGTAAGGGAGTTTCCATAAAGATGGTTCGCGAGTTGATTCTGTGCAAGATCAGAGGATCTTGCAGGATTAGGGTGTTCAAAGTTGAAACGCACCCTCTGTATGATGCCTCGTATAGAAGTCTCATTCTCCCTTCATAGCGATCGCCAGTTGCTTCCATTTTCATTAGTTATGTCTCTTGCCAGAAAGGATAGCTTATTTGCTTAATTTATAATTACAGTATTCTCTTGCCCCTTGTTGTTGGAAGCTTCCATGTATTTTTCGAGATCAACTTCCATGTAATTACAGTATTTTCATTAGTAGGACATATATAGAGTCATTCAAAGAACTTAGGTTTTCAAAATAAAAAGGATATTCAGAATTAATGAAAGTCAATATCAGCAAGATGGAAGAAGATTCTGTCGTGGGTAGAAACTTTACTTGCTCAGGCCTTTCGTCATTAACTTAAACATTGATAAAAATATTTTAAGAAAATTAGTTGTCACCACTAGTTGCAATTTTTTTTTTTTTTTTTGCCATTTGCTGAAATGAAGTAATCAGTGCTTCAACGTTAAGTAATCATGCACCCCTTTTCGATAGATAATTCTCCAGTTCCCAAAGCTTTGGCCGGCGGCAGGTGGCTAGACCATCGGCGATCGGCAATGGTGAGATTTGCTTTTTTCACAAATAACCAACATGGACATTTCTCAAATAATCGTGTTAGAAAAAAAATGTAAGAACTTCAAGATAAGTAGCTGAATTCATGATTATTGTCATTTGTTTATTTGGAGGGATTTTTCTATCTTTTCACCTATCAGGTTTGAATTTGAATCCTCAATTTCAAGCACTCCCGATCCCACCCATTACAATTAACCTAATTGACTCTCATGGCGTTTCCAAAGTTTTTTTTTTCATTATATTTAACATTAATTTCTTTATGTTTAGCTAATTGAACAGTTTGAAGACAAAGGGAGTAATTTTATGGATATGTTTCCTCGAAGAAATTTCATGAGTTTTCTATTGATCAAAATGAAATATAAATTATGTACACTTCTTTTTCCGTACATGCATATCAGCCTGGTCATTGAAAAGAATGAAACGCTAACTTTTAATATAATTAGTTAATTATTTTTTTAATTCTAGCACAAATAGTAAGTTCTGCTTATAATAAAAATTATCTTCCTTGAAAAAATTACGTTGAAAAATAGACATCTCCAAACATATACAAGGGTTAGGATTCAATCTCCCATAAACCACCTGCTTAAGACAAAAGCTCTCACCAGTTATGCCAATTTTACTTGTATATTATAGTAGTTATTATGTATTACTTGTAATTTTCATTACTGATAATAATTACTCCCCCTATCCTAAATTATAAAACATTTTTGGGAGTGATTTGCAGCCCCAAAATATAAGACATTTTAAAAAGATTAAGGTTTCATTAAATAGACCTATTCTAATATTACCCTTTATCTCTCTATTTAATATTAAATAAGTGTAGATTTAAGGTTATTAAATGAAGGATATTTTTAAAAATTTATATTTTTTTAAAAATTAAGGTTGTTAAGTATATTTAATAATGTTTATTGGTATGTGAGATTTTGTCTGTAAGTGTCTTATAATTTAGGATGGATAAAGTATAATTTGGACAAAGTTTGACTTAACATTAAAATGAATCTATGGTATATAAAGATCATGGTTTTTTAATGTCTTTTCCTATTTCACAATAATTTATTAGCAAGGTTAATTATATGGCTCAAAAGTCAAAACCATACTATATTTTCGTTATAAGAATGAGCAACTACCGTCTTCTGGTCCAATATTTTCTCATGTCTTGACTAATTCAACTGAATAAGGAAACATCTCGGAAAGAACATTTAATTTTATTATACAGGGGCTTGAAAAATATTACCCTTTATCTCTCTATTTAATATTAAATAAGTGTAGATTTAAGGTTATTAAATGAAGGATATTTTTAAAAATTTTTATTTTTATTTTTTAAAAATAAAGTTGTTAAATGTATTTAATGATGTTTATTGGTATGTGAGATTTTATCTATAAGTGTCTTATAATTTAGGATGGATAAAGTATAATTTGGACAAAGTTTGACTTAATATTAAAATGAATCTATGGTATATAAAGTTCACGGTTTTTTAATGTCTTTTACTATTTCATAATAATTTATTAGCAAGGTTAATTATATGGCTCAAAAGTCAAAACCATACAATATTTTCCTTATAAGAATGAGAAACTACCGTCTTCTGGTCCAATATTTTCTCATGTCTTGACTAATTCAACTGAATAAGGAAACATCTCGGAAAGAACATTTAATTTTATTTATACAGGGGCTTGAAAAATACACACGCACTAACATACTCCTTAACTTGACTGGCACTTATCACACGTTTTGAAAGTTCTCAGCGATCACTTGACTTGCACCATTTACATTCTATTTCTGATGCTCCATACATGCATGAAGAATTTTCTTACAGAAATATGAGCCAAAAGAACAAGGGAAAATCACACCAAAGGATTGCAGAGGAGAAAAAATTACACTAAGGGCCCAATGCATTATAAATTTATTCTGCAAGCTCAAGGGTCCTTTTTATAAATATGTGTTTAGGAGGAAAAGACACAATCACCTTTGGTAGGAAGGAAAGAACGTTGGGTACCAATGGACAATTACTTGATAATATGTGAACTTAAAGTTGTAAATTTGTAAACATCTAATTAGTTATAAAAAATCTAAACTTGCTATTACGAATTCACAATAAACCTCTGAATATATATATATATATATATATATGAAGTCATGGATTTTGAATTGCGCATAAATAAACTTGTACTTGTGAATATTTAAACTTTAAGTTGTAAATTTGTGAACTTAGCTAGTACAAACTTATCAACTCTAAACAATAATTTTACTATTAATGGACAATTACTTGTTAATATATAATTCTAAAGTTGTGAATATGTAAACATTTTGTTGTAAAAATACAAACTTTGACTTGCTCTCCTTTTTCATTAAGAACAGCTATGTCTTTTTCTCCCTAAAACATATTTGTAAAAAGGGCCCTCAGGCTTACAGAATAAATTTAGAATGTATTGGGCTCTAAGTTTAATCCCTATTGAAATGTAAAAATGTTTGGGTAAAGAAGGAGTCCGGTGGTTAACTAAGTTATTTAATGAGATCTTACAACCCAAAAGAATGCCGGATGTAACATCCGAGAAAATTTTAACCCTGAATTATTAACCTAATGAGAGTAATTAGTGAATTAATGAGGTGTGTGGCCAGAGGGGCTTAACTTGATATAATTGATGTGATTTCAACCCTAGAAGTGGGTCTGGATTGATGGCAGGCTACCTTGGCAAGGAAAGAGAATGAAAAGGTGAAGAGTTGTTTTCTATGCCACATGCCACAGCGCATGATTGATCTGCCGCAGTGCACGGAGATAATTTAAATACGGCCAAAAAATGAGATAAATTAGCTTGTGAGCTACATGAAAATAGAAAAGAGAAAGAGGAGGAAAATGAAGAGCTCAATTTTAGCTCTACTAGGGCACGACATTTGGTCCCATTATTGATAAATTAAAGCTCCCAAACACCTAAGGTAACAACATGGTGCTTTCTTCTTCTTTTCTCTCCCTCATTTGTAATGATTTATGGTAGGATTAGAGTTGGAAGATAAATTTTTGGTCCATAGAAGTATGGGTCCGATTCCATTGGTTAAAATAAGTTAAATGGGAGTGGTTTAATGTATTAGAATACCACATTAATGATTTTGGAAGTGGTTGGTCTTTGAAAGCATTTAATATCCAAAAATTGATATTTATGAAGTGGTTTGGAGACGTTAATATACATTAATGATAGTTTGAAGTGTACTTAATGATGATGTGCATTAATAAAATTTAATGAGCCTTTTGGGTATGAATGGGTATTGATTATAAGTTGATAAAAATAGTGTATGAAGAGTTTTATATTGATAAAGCTTAAAGAGCTAGATAATGATGATATGCTTGTGATATAGTTATTGAGAGGTTTGTTTTGGCACCATTTGAGTTTGTTGAAGCTTTGGGAAGCTGACATAGTGAGGGGTAAACCTTTGACCTCTCAAAGGTTTGAGTTAATCAGAAGAAACTTGATTTTTATAGTTATGTGTTAATTGTGTTGTAAAATGTAATTTATGAGTTAAATTGATTATGTATATTGGCAAAGTGCTTGATTTGTGAAATGGTTTTTAGGAAAGAAAACCTCAAGTCTGCTACCCTTGATGTTTTATGAAATTAGTTGTGATTTATTAATAGGGGTGGAGAATTGGATCTGAGTCTGCTACCCTTGTGATTTATTAAAAATATTTTTAAGACTTAGCTCATTGGATCTGAGTCGGAAAAAACATACAGAGGCTTATGATTGGTGGAATAGTCCTCTTTATGCTTCTCTTTTGCTATTTACATGTGTATTTTGTTAATGCCTTTGCCAACTAGGAGCGATTGTCATGACTGGTGCACTACTTACATGATTTTATATTTAACTAGTGTATATTATGCCTTGAGTTAGTGAGTTTTTATTGTGAACCCGTGGATAGGGTTAAAATACTTGTGCAAGTAGAAATATATGTATTTTTGAGAAATGTGAATGAAATGGTTGATTTTGTGCAACTTTATGTTTTGTGAAAATCAGGGTTAAGTGGTAATTTTATGAAATAAGAATTATTGGTTGAGTGTGGTGTGTTGCACGAGTTCGTGACAGTCCATTGAGTGTGGTCGGATGATTTGTGTAAGTTTTTAACACATGTGGTTGAGTTGGGACACCCATTTGGGAGTTTTTTTTGTTAAAATGTGGTATAAATAGTTTTTGGTGTCCAACTTTTTATAAAAAATGAGTTTAAATGTGAAACTTATGCCATTAGCTAGAACTAGAAGAAAGCTCCTTGTAAACACCGAAATCACCTCAATCAAACGTCGAACGGAGATTTGGGACGCGTCGGAAGTCTGGTCCCTGTGCTGTCAAATGACAGCACTAATTTGTCAAATTTCATGCAATGTGCCACGGCACATGGCTCCTCACATCGCGATGCATAGCACAGAGAGGACACGCCGTGGCGCACGGGTTGTAAGCCGCGGCGCATGTGTCATTTCTGTACAGAACTTGTTCTTGAGTTTTAAAACTCATTATTTGGATCCCAATTGATTTTTAAGCTTTCGCTTTGTTTTTAAAACTTTGATTTGGAGTCCTTAATTTATGTCTAGGTTTTTAATTGACAAATTGAGATTCCTTTAAAATAATTTTGAGAAATTCTCTTTTAAAATG